TTTATGGATTCACTAGAGCTGCTATTAATAAAAATAAGTCTCAACTTATTACTAATTCTTCTGGATATCCTACTCCAGTCTCATTGAAATTTGGAACTTCCATTTTAAACCTTCCTCCTGAAAGATCTTCTATTCATTTTCTTGGAATCTGGATCAATATAAACAACTCTTCAACTTTTGTCAAATACCAATGTATAGATACAATTAGATCCTTCACCACAGTACTTAAGAAAAAGCCTTTAACAGATAAACAGATTTGTTATATTACCAACATGATTTTCTTCTCTCTTTTGGAATACCACATATAGACTACCCATTATCCAAAAATGAATGCATTAGAATATCCTCTCCTATTAGAACACTTATTAAAAATAATTCACACTTTGCTATCTCTGCTTCAAATTGCCTATTCACTAGAAATATTTTTTTTCCAGATCTTTAGTTAATTACCTTAGATCCTTTTTTTCCCAATCAATTATGGACTAAATATTGGTTATAATTTTGGGTAAATTAAATGACTTTATCTATAAATTGATTTGGATTTCTTATTGCAAAGCCATGGTTAGTAAAGCATAATCTCTTAATATTGGAGTTAAATTGAAGAAAAAGAAAGTAAAATATAAAGTCAATAGGTGACTTCTTTCTAAACTGAGAAAGTCTTTGGTTGATAATTGGAAGACTTAGTTATATTTGGCTTTCAATTTTGGTTATTCCTGGTGTGACTTCTTGAGACGGTGCTGACATGTTCATTTAGATTTTTCATCATTTATATTCTTTTCAAGAGTTTTCTTTAGGAGAGTATTGAGGGAGAATTTTAGTGATTGGTCAATCCAAATGGGTTTAAAATAGAACTACGAGGAATAGTTAGCCTTTATTTTTTCTATTTACTTTTTTAATTTTTAATCTAGTTATTATCATACAATTTATTAATAAAGTACTGGCAGTACCACATCTTTAATAAAAAAAAAATCTATTTTAACCAGTAGAGTGTATTTCAAATTGGGATCTTAATGGATGTATAACAACATTTATCACTAATAATAGATCAAACATTAAGACAGAATTTCCTATTTTAACTTAAAAAAATCAATGTGAAAATATTCAAAGACTTTCTTGCATATCACATACACTCTAACTAGCAATTAAAAAAGGGCTAGTATCTGTAGAAATTTTTGTAGCACATATAAAAAGAATAATTAATTTTTTTAACACAAAAACAAATAGAAAAATTGGAGGAAATGCAGTATAAGTTAGGAATAAGGATATATTGCATTGCATGCAAAATATACAGATGTATTAAAACTCTTCATATTATGCTTAAGATTATCTTTTTTACCTTAAAGATGCAATTATTTAACTCCAAATTGATTTATATACAAGTACCAATAAAGATGATAAAAAAGATGGTAATAAATTAAAAAAAATTATGTTATCTAAAGAAGAATAGGATTTATTAGATAAATTGATTGATGTTTTAGTTCTATTTGAAGAAGCAATATAAGAGTTTTCAGGAGAAACTTATGTAACGCTTAGCAAAATGATGTTGACTATTAAAAAACTTATTTTTAATATAGCCACAAATTCACCATCAGATGACATTAATTATCTTAATGAAAACATCATATTTGAAGAAGCTAAAGCTACTGTTGACAATGTGAAAATTAGTATAAATAATATTACTAAAAAAAAGATCTCTATTAAAAATCTATTAAATACTGAAAGAGTTTTAGGAAAAGTAAAAAGTAATATTTATCTTTATTACTTAAATACTTCTAATATTTATAATAATGCAGAATTAATGGCTTCTTTGCTAGATTCTCATTATAAAGAGTTAGATTTTGTGAAGTTAGATAATGAGAAAGATAAATAATACAGAAGCTTCATGATAAGTTTAATGAGTCAAACCCCAATAATTCACCATTAGCAGCAAAGCAATTAGATCTAACTATACCTTTATCAAATGCAGATGCCGAATCTTCAATGTATTCACAAAAAGAATATTGTTAACATCACTAAAGTAACACTAGTTGAATAATGACAAATAAGGACTAATCAGGTCAAACCTAAGTTGCCAGATTTGTCCTGATTAGTTTTCTACTTTTTGTTTTTTTAGAATCAGATGATCCTGATTGATAATAAATAATAGCATAGATAGGATATAATAAGATTCCAATCGGAGTATTATAAAGATATCAATAGGGTTATTCTTATTGATATCAATTTATTAACATCCAGTTTTCAATCAGATTATCATTAAGTCATCAATAAAGATATTCTTATTGTTACCTATTATACAAATGGCATATTCCAATTGATAACATTTTATCAAATTTTTATAATACAGGTAATTTTATAATTGTTTATTTTATACAAGTAAGCAATTCTGATTAATTATAATAAAAAGAATTTTATTATTGATATGATTTACATTGATATAATACTTTAATTATAAGAAAAATACATTTATAAAATAATAAGCTTCTGATTATTACAAATTTATTAAATTTAATTATTTATTATATTTGATAAGAAAAAAAAGGTTCTCTTCTATTAAAGAAAGAAAAAAATTAGTAAAAACCTAAAAAAAATTATCAAAAGAGTCTCAATTTATAGCATATCTTAGTTAATAAGCAAGAAAAATCCAATCCTAATAAAAAAGAAAAAAATTAGTAAAAATCTAAAAAAAACTACTATTCTGATTTGTAGACTTATCTTAACTAATATTAAAAAATCCACTTCTATTAAAAAAGAAAAAAATAGTAAAAAATCCAAAAACAACAATAAAAGGGTCTCAATTTGTAACATACTGTTAACATGTAATTCTTGCGAACTACAACTGTTAGACAGGGTGTCAGAGTGTTATTTCTTATTGAATGATAGTGTATCATTTTGAAGAAATGATAATTTGATTGTTTCAATCAGATGATTTTGCATTATC